ATATCAACTACAACCACAAGACCATGATCAGGTTAGTCCAATATTCTTGTCTAATTATCATCTCTATCTTACACTACATCAATTTTATTCATTCTGCCTTCAAGTCCATCAATTGATGATGATGATGATGATTAAGTTATCAAACAATAATCAATAAAGTGATCATGTTTTTATCACTACACTCCATGCGATGCAAAATGCTCTTTTATGGGTTGTTTGAGGCCAGAGATTATTTTGATTGCTTTGCCTCTGTCTAATATAAAATATCCCTCACTCTTTCTGCACCCAAATTGAATTGAATGATTGCTCATATCGGTAATATCTTTTCTACTTCCTCTTTGATGCAATCATGTTAAAAATCAACTTCCAAATCCATCAACCCTAGTGTCGAGTGTCTCTCTCTCTTTCTGTTTGCAGTCACAAATCGAATTGAATGATTGCTCATATCCGTCAAAATAGCTTTTCTACTCTCTCCTTGATGCAATCCATGTTCCAAATCCATGAACCCTAGTGTCGAGTGTCTCTCTCTCTTTCTCTTTGCAGTCACAAATCGAATTGAATGATTGCTCATATCCGTCAAAATAGCTTTCTACTCTCCTTGATGTAATCATCTTCAAAATCCATGAACCCTAGTGTAGAACTTCCCTCTGTGTTTGCAGAGACAAATGGAATTGAAGGATTGCTCATATCCGTAATATGCTTTCTAGTAGTTCATTGACGCAATCATGTTGCAAATCCAATTCAAAATCCATCATCATCATCTTAACAACACCTATTCACTATTTAGGATCGCCATGACGCCATGCCCCTGGGCAAAAAGATGATGTAGAGTATCAAGAACAGCTTGATTTTTTTTCTCTCCTCTCTTTTCGCATTTTTTTTTTAATGACGCTGGTCGATCGTAAAATAGTGTAGGCCACAACGCTAGCGGCCCGCTATCGCAGTGATTTTGAATGGATTGCTCATGACTAGGTAGAACCTAAATAGTTGGATGGAAAATGCTATCCTAGCGTAGTGGTGCACATCATGACTGCAAAATCAATATGTATACTATTGAAGGCCAATGGCATACAACTAATTAACGATGTCTTAACAAATGGATTCATTATCCTACTGGAAAACTGATGTAAAATGCCTTAAATAGTTTAAGTAGAAATGGACATCCAATATAGCGATACCAATGTAAAGGAATATGAATAATATTCTAATCGAATTAATTAGGCGATAGGAAAATGGACGAGAAGCTAGCAGAATCTAGATAGATAAAATTCAAGTTGCTGCGGACTGTTGAAAAGTAAAAATTGATATCACCCTTTCGATCTGATACCAGATCGAAAGGGTGATAAATTGAAATCCACATCCACTTTTCGATCAAATAAGAGCAGTATGAAAAATGATCAGATCGATCTGGTCATTAAATGAAATTGACATGTAGTTTTACATCAATTAGTGAAAGAGTACGATGAAGAAGAACCAAATCGATATTATGATCAAATCTACATCGACTTTTCAATCCAGTACCATGTAGAAGAACCAAATTGATACTTCGATCTAGTTTTACGTTCAAATAGTGTAATTGTACGATGAAGAAGAACCAGATCGATTGGGTGATCAATTGAAATTTAGATGTAGTAAAAGTGTACGATCAAGAAAAACCAAATCGATCAAATGATAAAAATTACATCATGTTTTCAAGTTAATAGATGTATAATGAAGCCAATTCGTGAAATCGACATCAACTTTTCGATCAAATAAGATGAAAAATAAGCAAATCGATCAGATGATAAATTGAAATTAGATTTTCAATGACATCTAGTTTTACATCAAATAGTGAAAATGATCGATGAAGAAGAATAAGCAGAGCAGATCGATCAGGTCATGCATACATCAATTGAAATCGACATCAAGGTTTACATTCAGTTTGATCTTTCTATCAAACTCATGTACGATAATCGAGAATCGGTTGATTAGTGGTTGTAGACTGTTGAAAAAGTAAAATCTACAGTAGCTTTACATCCTATACCTCTACGTTAAAGAAAACTTGCATCAGGCAATGGAGAAATCGCCGCTAAATACACGCTAAACCTACTCCTGCCAAATGGAATAGCCAATTGTTGAACTCGATATCTCTTACATCATCAATAGGATTAGTAGTTTCTTAATCAATTATGATGTCAATACAACATGAATTACTATATTTCTTTGGGCAATCTACATGATTTACCTAAGCTCCATATCGTTGTGATGCATATCGGTGCTACATTGCAAACAGTAAACTAGCAGAAATAGATATACAGTAAAATTGATTCGGAATGAATGGAAAAATACTTTATTCTAATAGTACACGCTCTAGCAATCCTGAATATTGAGGATTTCATCGATGACATATTTGGCTAATACATGAAGTAATCCTTCTCCTCCATTAAAAATAAAATAAACGTTGAAGGCCTTCAACAAATCATTCGATCGTATAAAATGGAATCTAATTTACTCAACAAAAACAAATGACCACAGCTGGCGAACAACAAATACACATCCATCCTCAATGCCTAATTGGCTATTTTTGCCTTGCTATTTTATTATGGTTGTTACCTCTGCAAGAAAATCAAAATCAATTGAATCTGACAGTAGCAATACAATATTACTGACTAGAATCATTCCACTTCGGAAGCACTTTTTTAATTTAAGGTGGACCTTTTTCAAGCACAATTATATTTCATTTTCGTATTTGTTAGTTTATTCGTGATTTCGACGCAAAGCGATATTCACGCTAAACTGATGTATCCAAATCAATTTAATGTAGCATAATAAATAGAAACTAGACCTTCTTAACCATCTAATTCAAGGGTCAAATTGCTCTTGTTATACATCGACGTAATCATGTAATCGAAAGTCGACAATTGATGAAAACATGTTTCTACTTGCTATTTACTACATTATGGATGATTTGGTGCAGAGCAATATCCGTGTTATATTGGCATGTCTTATAAATATTGAAATCCGTTTAATAATCGAGTAGAGTTAGTAGAAACGAGACAGTGGATGAGTACGACTTTTGACTTCTTCAATTTCAACTTCTTGCCACCGTGTTAGTGATTTAACTGAGCGATATCATCGCTAAACATGTCTTGTAAATATCCAAATCTAGCTAATCTAGCGGTGTAAGTAGAAACTAGGCCTTGCTAACCAAGTTACTTCCAATGGACAATCTAGAACTACGACCATGTTTCAAATTCTTATTTCGCCACGTATAAGGAATTTTGATACAGAACGCTATCTACGCTAAACATGTTCTGTAAATATCGAAATCAATCTAATCCAGCAGAATAAGTCAAAACTAGGCCTTGTTAACCATGCCCTTCTTCTAAAGTAGACAATTGATGAGTACGACTATGATTCAAGCTTGGTAATCATGCCTTATTTATTTAAATTAATTCAATCTAGCACAATAAATAGAAACTAGACCTTCCTAACTAAATTATTCCAAGTTGACCATTTATCGCTACGCCAATATTTCAAATTTAGTAGGTAGATTGGCTTACTATAAGTAATATTACCGCTAAGCAATATCGGCACTTAACGTGTCGTATAACTATCGATCATCTTATTTGGGAATTTTCGATACGTCAATGATCATGAAGAAATGATATATCAATAGATATATTAACCAAACGAACAAAATAGCTTGCGAGCGTCTAAAATTTCTCCATGCTTGAAGAAAATAATCGTTACTGTTAATAGTCACCAAGAAAGGACATCGCGAGGGACATATTAAATCATTTTTCTTCATCAATCGATTCAATTTTTCAACCGTGTGTAATAATATACGATTGACAAGTATGGACTACCCCATACTTTTGTTATCTACTGTACATTGATCAATCGATCAGTTATGAAATATAAATCGATCTATCGAATTAACAGCAAACTAGATGAAATGGTTATTACATTATGGCAGATATTACCCTTTTATACTGTATAAGAGATGGAGATCATTTACGTTATAGCATTGATTAATTATTAATCACATTAGCCATATTATTAAAACGTTCCATTGAGTTGTCATCAATTACCAAGTACAATGTTCAAGCGTTTTACTTCCTCTCTATTTGAATTACTATTTAACTTTCTACTGCCAAGTGGTTCACTTTTGTTCTGTCATGCAAATAAGAACCTAATTTTTAATAGTTTGATAACGATGAAGAGAAGATTTTATTTCCTTTTAACGATGGCTTAACCATAGACGACACAGAAGCATTGAACCGTATCACTATTTTGAAATGATAACTTTCTATTTTATATTATTGACTGCCATACTCTCGTGTAAATTATTATAACTCACTTTCCGATAATTGGATTGCAATTAAAAGGCAGTTATTTTTCTCTTCAATAATAGCTTAATGCTAATAAAGCTGATTTGGCATGGTTTTCTCACGAGAATGGCTTCAGCAGTACTAAAATCATTCCCAAAGATTACAAGACCAATGCAGGTAAACTTCGATAGCCCTTGAATTCTACAACAGGATACTTATGTAAAAGACGTGTGTATCAATATGTACGATTCTCTTACTGCAGTACTGTAGCAAATGATTGAAACTACAGGTATTAACCATCGTGTAATAATATTGCGCCTTGATAACATCCGCATAATTATATGTTTACTGAAGTAGGCCTGTCGTAGTAAAATTAACTGTTAAAACAATCGTGTAGCAATCTTTCCTTACAGTAAAAGCATGATTATTCATATACTATTGAAGTTGAATCTCGTTATAGATACAACAAAAACTAAACTGTAAGCGCTAATATAGAATTCCTACATTTTAGAAGCTATTCCCTTAGTCGATGAAGAAATAGATGAATCGGATACCATTTTATTGCGATTGGAAAATGGGACAGTAATCAAAGTCGATCATGATTCATGTCATAAAGTGAGTATGATCTAGTTATTCTGTCTATTTTAATTATTATTTACCCTACTACTATATCTTCCTTATTCATAGGCTAATCCACCCTGGCTTGATCATGTTGAAGATATTACTGCGTTAAATTTCATCAATGAATCTAGCATCTTACATTTGCTTAGACAACGATATGGCAATAACTTGATACATACTTTTGCCGGGCCTGAACTTATTGTAATTAATCCATTACATACACTGCCCATATATTCCGATAAGGTGTGAATTTGCTTCATTTCTAAACTTTTACGATTTAATATCTACATATGATGAGAACGACATAATTCAATGGAATAAGTTCCTTCTAGTAATTGCTAGATGTGACGATAATAGTGTAATTAGGTGGACTTTTGCTGTCCATTTACGGATACCATCGTCTGTCAAGTAATTTAATTAATTAAATACGATAATAGAGATAGAGTTATAAAAGGCTACCGTCGTGTTATCATTTTTTGATAATGGATATTTTCCTTCGGTATTAATGTTTGTACTGTAGGTAGCGAAATTTTTCTATGGCTGCCAATTAGGAGATATGCCACCCCATATCTATGCTACCGTACAAGCTGCTTATAGGAACATGCTATCGACTCTAGCTAACCAAGCTATAGTACTAATGGGACCTAGTGGTTCGGGCAAGACCACAAATGCACGTCTTATTATGTCGTATTTGACTAGTATTAAGTATTCTCCAATCGACCGATTACCAGGTTAAGAATAATATTTTAACCAACTGAGTATTAGTAGTTAGTAAAATTGCTAATCATGATAATTAAAGATATCAAATTATATCCATTCTAGAAAAACTCAAAGCTGCTAACATCTTGTTGGATGCCTTTGGTACAGCTAAAACCTCTATCAATGATAAAGCTAGCAGATACATTAACCTAACATCGTTAGATTTTGACAATGCGGGAAATTTTGTTGGAGCGTCAATACAGGTTTACATAGAAATCTTTCTTGACTTCATACTCCACTACTGACAACATTTCTTTTTCATATCAGGCGCATCTTCTTGAAAGATCTCGAATTATTAGAAAACCAGACTTTGAAGGAACATTTTCAATATTTCACCAACTGCTACATGGTAGTGATGCTGCATTAAGGTAGACAGATATCTTAGTCCTTTTTATTGAAAGTAGGAACCTGAATGATATGATAACTTTAATCTTTAATCATTGCTATATAAATCTTCTTTTCATCTCAGGACTGATCTACAATTAAACCTTAAAAATTCAGGAAATAACCGTTTCATAAACTCAAGCGATTCGGTAGGTAACCCGACTGTATTGCTTTGTATAAAGTCGCCTCATGAGCTTGTCATCAGGCTTAAGATGACTTAAAATACTATTAAAAGTTTGCTAATAATGTAATTAATTAATTTAATCTTTCATTTATTCTTTTATCTATAAGATAACGGATAAACAAAATGATATTAGCAATTGGGCAAAAGTACAAAATGCTTTTCAACTATTAGGAATATCAAAAGAGAATGCTAAGGGTATATGGTTTATTCTAGCTGGAATATATCATTTAGGATTCATCAATGTTGTTACAGGTATAGCCAAGATAACATTACTCTAATTAATTATTGGATACTTTATTTATCGGATAAACACTTTTTCCATTGACGCTAGAATCAATATTCAAGAATAGTATTAATGTATTCGTATAATTTTTTAGCGGAAAATAGTAACAAGATTCATTATGAAGATCCAATGGCTGCACAAAGAGCTGCCAATATCTTGGGAATCACGCAAGAAGAATTATCACGAATAATATTCAATGTAAAGCCCTCATCACAAGTTACTGGAAGTAACACGCTGTCCACTTCGAGCTCAATTTCTAGCTTACACTCAGAAAGTCCGCCAATGTCTCCTATGGGCTCAACAATAGAATCTTACGTTAGAAATGTCGATGGTTTAGCAATGGCGCTATATGATGAATTATTTTCTATCATACTATCGATTATTAATGGTAGCCTTATGTCACAAACAGTGCATAGTAAGCATTCAATAACGATATTGGATGTACCTGGATTGCAAAATTATGATGGTAGTCGTCCATCAGGATTCGATGATATGATATTTAATTATGCGCAAGAACGGGTCCAGGCCTATTATCATAATAAAACAATCTCTGGCGTTTTAGACAGATACGATCAAGAATATATTGATATTAGTTACTCTAGTGATTCTGCTATATCGCCTAACGAATTGGTATCGCTATTTGACAAAGCTCCAAGCCAAGGATCTCGAAGACACAGTACAGTTCGAGGTGACCAAAAGGGTCTATTGCGACATCTTGATGAAGAATCAGGATATAGTGGCTCAACTGAAGCAGGCTTTATCGAGCGTCTACACTTTTATAATAGCGACTCCGGGAAAAGTCACTCACTTAAATTTAGTGATAATAGAGAATCGTTTATTATTTCCCATTGCCAAAATTCGTTCGATATTGAATACAACGCCAGCAAATGGTTACGTTATGCTAAAGATTTTCTATTACAAAGGCAGGCTACTAGCATATTAAGTAGTTCCTCTAGGTCTATGATAGGCTTAGCTTATCAAGGCTTTACACGTTCTCAATCCTTACATCTTAAGCCTACTAGTCCATCCAGATTGAGAGGTTCAGTAAGTTCTCTGCATAAGGTGAACATTCGTGGAGGTGTTAAAAAGACTGCGCCTTGTTTTAGGCCTATCTTCGAAATGGATGGTGTTTTAGATAGCCTTCGACGCACTACTGTTCGATTTATTCATTGTCTGGTTTCAAAGCATCATCAGACATCAGATAGTGGTAAAAAGACTAGCGATGAATTATTTAATATACCTTTAATGCGTAAACAATTAAGCGCATCTGAATTGATCGAATCTGTTCGAATATTTCGAGTTGGATATCCTGAAAATGTTCCCTATGGAGAATTCCGATTCCGCTTTGGAGTACTCGCCTCAGCAGATAAAAGGACTAAGGGACCCATCATAGACGAAAAGACTGCAGCGAAAGAATTAGTAGAAGAACTAGAATTAGACAGATCAACTTATCGCTTTGGTTTAACACAGATATTTTTCAGAGCTACGGCATTCTATCGCTTAGTAAATGCACGTGATGAAAAAATAACCGATTCTTTAATTGGCGTGCAAGCATATTGCAGAGGCTACCTATCTAGACGCAAGCTTGATAAATTAAGATACCAACGGACAGCAATTGAATGCATCCAGAAAAACTTTAGAAAATACTTGGTATTACGCCAGTGGAATTGGTGGCGTCTACTTACAAAAGTATTACCATTAATTCAAGTTAATCGAACTGAAGAAGAAATTAAAGAGAAAGATTCTCAACTTGAATCCTTAAATGCTCGTATTGCTAAGCTAGAAGGAGAAAAAAATAGTTTACACGATGAAAAAATCGAATTAGAGATGAAAGTTACTGAATTATCAGTAGCATTAGCTGAAGAGCAAAATAACGCTACTGGCACGGCCGAAATGCTAGAAGAAGAATCCAACTCGAGGAGACGCTTGGAAGAGGAGTATGCTGAACTTAAATCAGAATTAGACGAAGTGACAAATCAAAATAATCAATTAGCAACAGATTTACTAGCAGCACAATCGAGACAGTATAGAGATGAGAGGACAGACCGCATTGAAGAATCAGATGAAGAATCCGACAAAGAGAGTCGCTATTCTGATAAAATTAGATCGTTACAAAGAGAACATGATTTAGCAATGAAGCGCCTGAAAGATAGAGCTGAGGAAGAAATGGGAAATTATGTTACTGCAAGGCGCGATGCTGATCGAAAAGCTGCTGCTCTATTTGATGATAACGAGCATCTACAACGTGCTTTAAATCAAGCAAAGAAGAAATCTCAGCGCTTAACAACAGACCTTGAAGATACTAGATTGCTGTTAGAAGGATACCAAAATAAAAACTTCGAACTTGAAAAGAAGCAGAGAAAGTTCGATTCTGAACTTAGTAAAGTCAGAGATGCGGTTGAACAGGAGAGGAACTTAAAAGAAATAGCAGCTAAGGAGAAAATGGGGCTACAAACTGACTGTTATAAGAATGAGCAACTAATTGAGGTAATCTAGTATAAAAAATATCCTGTCTTGGCATTGCACTTGTATATACGTTATCATCGATAAAATTATATCTAATACTAGAAGCTGATAGATATGTGATTGTTTAATATGTAATCTAGTATAAAAAGAATGTAATGTCTTGGCATTGTACTTGTATATACGTTATTATCGATATAATTGTATCTAATTCTAGAAACTAATAAATATGTGGTTGTTTAATATGTATTAGGAATTACAACAAGGAATGAATCGATTAAAGCGTGAAAATGAAAGACTTAATGAAGAATTAAAGGAAGTAGTATCACATGGTAACAAGGGTGAAAATCAATTAAATCAATTAAAAAGAAGTAAGAAAGATCTTGAGGTCAAAATCGATGAATTAAATGAAGAACTTGATGATCAAGCTGGCCAAATACAGCAATTAGAGCAGGTATTTTGACAAAAATTTAATTGAAATCATCTAACGCAATTAATGATTAATTTAGCGTTATTAGCGTTACAATATTATCGAATAAAAAAATATAAAAAAAGTATTATTAATTTATCTATTTTAGGCAAAATTGAAATTAGAGATGGCAACACAAAATGCTAAACTTAAGTATCAAAAAGAGATAGAATCAAAAGAAGAAGAACTAGAAAATATCCGCTCAAACTTACAGAAAAGAGTAAAATTATTAGAAGATCAGCTTGAAGATGAGTATCGTGACAAAACTGCAGCCCAAAAAGCCCGCCGTGAAGCAGAAAGACAATTACAGGAAGCACGAGACATCGAAACGAGACGCGATGTAGAAGCGGAAAAGAAATTAAGAAGAGACCTTCGAAGAGCTAAGGCTTTACTGTTAGATTCGCAAATGGCAAATCAATCTCAGGTTCTTTAATTTGCGCCAAGTTTTAATGTATTTGTAATCGTGTTAGATGTACTCGTATATAAAAATTGTAATTAACATGTCACTATTATCTATCTTAATAGAATAAAGGAAAATCTTTAGGGAATGTAAGAGAGCTACGAGATCGAATTGAAGAACTGGAGGCAGAACTGAGGACCGCTCAGAAATCGGCACGAAATCTCCAAAGCGATTATGACGAGCAGCAAGAAGAAGTTGAAGAATTAGAAAAGAAATGTAAAGACGTAAGTGATAGCTTCATACTTCTTTACTACAGTTTAATAGAATTTGATATTACTTCAAAGCATACTACATAAACGTTTATATTGTACACGTATTGATATACCAATGTGATCTACAGCTGGAAACTCGTCTTGCGGTTGTAACTGAAGATAGAAACGAATTACAAGCTAAGGCAATGGACGATGAAGCAGAAGTGGATGAAATTATCAGAAAGCAACAGTCTCAGACTAAATCGGTACTTTTCCCTGTCTCTATGTTGGAATACTTTCTCTTTTTCATAATCACAACCGATTGCGTTAGTTAACGTAACTGCTAAAATTTTAGTATGCAGATCTGCAGAAGCAGTTACAAGAATTATTGGGACAGGTTCATAACCTAGAGGAGGAAAAGAGTAAACTAGTCCAAGAGGTAACTGAAATCTTACGTTGTCACTGTAGGCCTAAACGGAGTACATTATTTGTAATTTGATGTCACTGTGTATCTAATCTTTAGTCTTTTGTACAATTGTAATTGCTTACCAATGCTTTTATATACAGATAAATAATTACAAGACTCGGGTCTCGCATTTGGAAAGTGATACAATCGATAGAGTTTATCTAACTACGGCGGAATCTAAGGTTTGATCATATGCAAGTCTAAAAATTTAAACTTCCAACTCCCTCAGCGAACCTATTCTATCTTGCTGGATGGATAAGAATAATAAATATGTGAGCTATCTTAAGTAAATAGTTTTGTTTTACATTTATGCATTAGGCAAGAGCATTAGAACAAAGGTTAGAAACAGAAATGATGACCAAAAGTCGTATGGAGGTATATTCGACATTTTTTCCACTTTTATTAAACTAATTTTCACCAGCTATTAAAGTCAAATATTATATTCTCCGATCCCTTTGTCTCGCTTTATAGACTACTGTTAATCGTGTCAAGAAGAATTTAGAACGAGTAAAAGAAGAGAAAGATCAACTAGAGCGAAGTGTCCAACAAGCTCAGGAGAAGATCAAACAGTATGAAGCCTTCGTTTCATTATCTCATATAGTGACATTTATAGTACTTAGTTGAGATTTATTTATTCTGTCTTAATCCATTTTTAATTCAAGCAATAATCGAGAGCAAAGATCGCTACGTGAGGAAATTAGGGACTTACATCGTAAAATATCTGAACAACAAAAGAAAACCGCTGACTCTGTATGATATTTGCTTTGCAATTGATATAATCTTTATTACCAGTAAGAAATAACACGTATCTGTAACCTTGAATCCATAGGAGGCTGAATTGGAAAATTTGCAAGCTGATTATGAAGGAGTTACTGCTCAATTGAAAGTTGCCAATAACAGAATCTTTGCCCTACAACAAGCTATTGAGGAAAACCTGGAAGTCGATTCCGATGAATCCAGTGATAAATCCTCAGATGATGCATTCGATAGTACACTGGACGATGAATATTTTCGTAAGACTCCCGACTCGAGTAAACGTGGCTTGTACAGACATGATAGTAGCCAAGATTTTGAAGCGAAACTAAAACGACAGACGTCATACGATAAATATGATACTGAGAAAATGAGACGGGCACGCAAACGCTACGATGATGACGATATGGACGAAAGAAATACATTAAAAAGGGATCATACTTCCGAGAGTGATAACAGGCTAAGTGTTAAGCAAGGTTTAAGCGGCGGTCGATATCAACAAACTCATGACGATGACGATAACACTAAAAATCCAATGCCTCGACCTAAGAGTGGAGAAATGGTCGAAGTGTAAAACGCTTTGGATTGTTATATACGCGTATGTAATATCAAGCGCGCATTATTTTAAATTGCAATTACAACAAAGATTCTTATTAGATCATTATTTAGACGAAAAATTGCATTTGAACATTTATCTGCTACTACTAAACTCTACTGTTATAGATAAAATACTAACGTCTGTTTAAACTAACCAAAATTTAGACAATAGGCAATTATAACACCTGTGTACTAAGTAAAGCTATAATTTTTCGATCTGCGATTGCCTCGCAATTATCTAAGATATATATGTATGTACCAATTCAGTTGAGCAGGAAATTATGTATAACTATTTTTCAGGTTAGTCCTATCGCCATATATATTCATTGATAATATAAATAAATAACTATGCTCATAAAACTCAATTAATGGGTCATTATCTTGATGCTCCTGAATACTGTAGCATCCATAACTTAAGCTTTACTAATTTTTCAAAAAAATGACCTAAATTTATAGTTTATTTACCTGGCCCTTTCCTTGAAAATTTACTCCAAATTTGTTTTTATATTGGAAAATATTTATATATCCAGTTATCGCAATAAAATTTATATCAAATTCTTTCGTGTTCTCATCTCTATGGCTGACTAATAAATTGTAGTATTTATTTTATATCAACATGCACGCTATTAATGCAATAATTTTGTCAAATAGTAGGAGTAAGAATGCTGTGATATAGAATAACATATCTACATATCATTCAAGTAGTTTATAAGATATTGTTAAACAGTGAAGCTTGAATGTGAATAGAACCAAAGTCGATGTTCTACGAGTCAAATAAATTAATAAGGCTTGCATGCAATTGTCATTCTTATATTGAGATTTTATCGCTTTAATAACATGGAATGAAAATCTTTACGTGCAGACAACAGATGCATGATAAAAGTAAATGCTAAGTAGATTGCAACATCAATTTTTTGTCGGTTACTTGTAAAGTATAAAGCGAGGAAAATAATTATTCATCCGATCGAATAACCCTTTTGGTATTTCATGAAACATATCAACAATCTGAATAGTTTTAGTACTTCTAAAAGGTCAAGCTAAATAAATGATGTAACTATTATAACATTGCAATTCAAGCGTAGAATTTACCATCTGAAATTCAAGTATCAGTCAGCTTGTACATAAGTTTACCATCGAATTCTTTCGTTTCTATTTACAGTAACGATGCTCATAAATTATCACTATTATTTTAGAAATGCTTTAAGGATCATGTAATACAGACAAAAATTTAGATATATTTGAAAATAAATTATTTCCCCCACTCTATGGTATGCAAAGAGGACGCGTCATCTGTAAGGCTAAATGATGCCGGCTTAAGTGATGGCGGAAGATCATTTACAGGCGGTAATGCTACTGGAATCGAAGTATCTTTAGCTTCTCCTCGCTTCGAATTCTCTTTACTTCTTCTAATTTGAACATTGGTCATCCATTGATCGACGATTGCTTGTGTCTCAGCTTGGTCTACATAAAACGAGTTATGATAACGCGTAAGATAATGATAATTATTCGACGAATCTGAAGTATACGCGTAACTAGAACGACAGTACTTTGCTACTGAGAACCTTTTTAGAATTATAGCAAGATATATTCTTGCTGTAGTTGATTTGTTATACTTCTAGATTTTTATCTATCGTAGTTTGATAAGCTGAAATTCATTCTATTAATAGTAAAGTAAAATTGTTGGTTTGATGTATTACCTATTGCACCGCTTGCTGAAGTCTGTCCTTGCCACTGACGAGAAATATCAGCTAAAGAATCAATAAGAGTCAAATTATTATACCAAGCAAAAGAGCTAAATAGCTTTAATAAAGTTATCCAGTAATGGCCTTTCAAACTGTTTAGTTAGTATTTAATGCGATCAGGTACGATAAAACGCAATCAATTCCATTAGAACTTACGCGCACTTAAAAACAGTCTTTTAATATTGCATTTATAGTTATATCTAATATACTGATCAGTCAATATCAGCAGTGTATATTGGTAAACTGCAAGTAGAATCCAAGGTGATATTTGAAAAACTAGATAAGGCAATGCAATATCAAGCTAATTTGCAATTGAAGAATAGCTCAACTACATTGTACAGTAAGTGGATGCTATTCGTGTTCGCTCACTAAAGGAGAATTGGTCTACTTTGATAGCATTCATATTGCAAGATAGCGATAATTCTTATATAAGGCATCTTTTACGTACGTATTCCGTAATACGATTGGAATGGACTGTTATTTTGAGAGTTTTCAATAAAGCTATGAGGTTTCATTGACTGACTGCTAAGGAGCTGTGCAGCATCTAGAAATAGGCATTGTAAAAAATCAGGAGTAGAAGCGATCAATAATGACAAAGTATAACCGAGTCGTATCTAGTCCTTGCATGATAAGTTACCTGCCATAACAATGGAGTTATTAACTATAAGTCAAGACCATAATGAGACACTAACTTACCCCTAAATGAATCATAATGTAACTTTGTAAGCCTCTGATGTTGGAAACTGCTCCTATGTTTCTTCCTAATTTCAACACTATCTGTAATATAGCGTTCACAGAAATCGCAGTAATAGCGTTTGCCCATCCAGCTAGCTACAATAGTTCTAGATGACCTGACAAAACTAATCAATAACCATGGAAAGTGAGCAAGGAATCCTCTATAGTATAACGCTATAAGCAGTGGATTTTCATTCTCATCGCTCGTATAACTCTAGGATGCTCAGAGGAGGGGTAGAGATTACTCAAAAGTAAAAAATAACTTTGGCTAGGTTGATTAAATGATTATTTATAACATGAAGGAAGGATAAATTATGTCGAGATGGCCTTGAAGTACACGGACTGGATGGGAACACCAGTGTTGGCCACTTCTTTCATAGCCATTCCACAATCCTACCTAATGCGCTTACTGTTACATGTAGTGTTGAGTACTACATGAGCAGCTAAAATCTCAACTAAAAAGAAAGCGGGACCGGAAATGGTTGCCAATCATACTAAAAACATCAAGGCGGCTAGTTTGCTGGTCATTTCAACTATATCGTATATCTGCAACCATACGCCACACTATTGACCATGGTGGTCCGAGTCTACAGTGTACAGTGTACAGTATGGGACTGCTTTACAGTACTGTAGCAGCCAAAAGACTGTACTGTACACTGTACACTACACACACTCACTCGGTGCAGCTATACAGTACAGTAGACTAAAAAAGTAAGACCAGCAAAAGCTCAATTTTGGACACCAGTGTTCATTTAGTAGCATCAAGATCTTCATGACCTGGCTGGCCTTGATCTTCAATTTCAATTTGAAAAATACGGACCAGAGTCGAGACTAATGCTGTTTGGATATGCAAGCATTATACTACTGTACAGTACACACACTCACTCGGTGTAGCTGTAGCACTAAGAGAGACATGCAAAAGCTCAATTTTAGACACCAGTGTTCATTTAGTAGCATCAAGATCTTCATGATCTGGCTGGCCTTGATCTTCAATTTCAATTTAAAAAATACGGACCAGAGTCGAGACTAATGCTGTTTGGATATGCAAGCATTATACTACTGTACAGTACACACACTCACTCGGTGTAGCTGTAGCACTAAGAGAGACATGCAAAAGCTCAATTTTAGACACCAGTGTTCATTTAGCAGCATCAAGATCTTCATGATCTGGCTGGCCTTGATCTTCAATTTCAATTTGAAAAATACGAACCAGAGTCGAGACTAATGCTGTTTGGATATGCAAGCATTATACTACTGTACAGTATACACACTCACTAGGTGTAGCGGTAGCACTAAGAGAGACATGCAAAAGCTCAATTTTGGACACCAGTGTTCATTTAGTAGCATCAAGATCTTCATGATCTGGCTGGCCTTGATCTTCAATTTTAATTTGAAAAATACGGACCAGAGTCGAGACTAATGCTGTTTGGATATGCAAGCATTATACTACTGTACAGTACATACACTCACTCGGTGTAGCTGTAGTACTAAAAGAGGCATGCAAAGGCTCAATTTGGGACACCAGTGTTCATTTAGTAGCATCAAGATCTTCATCATCTGGTCTGGTCTGGTCTTGATCTTCAATTTCAATTTGAAAAACACGGACCAGAGCCGAGACCAGGGTTGTTCGGATATGCAAGCATTATAATACTGTACTGTACACACACTTATTCGGTGTAGCTGTAGTACTAAAAGAGAGACAAGCAAAGGCTAAATTTTGGATATGCAGAGCATTATCATCCTGTAGATGACTTGCAAAATAGAATATACTGTAAGATATACGAATTTGGAATGGGCAGCATAAAACCTATTAACTTATACATTATTTCATGATTTCAATTTCAATATTTAAAAGACAAACCAGAGTCGAGACCAGTGTTGTCCGCATATGCAAGCATTACAGTGCTGTAGATGATTCCCAAAATATAATATGCGATGAGATATTGTATATGAATTTGGAATACAGCCATATTAGTATTCGTACAGTAAGACAGTTTATCTATACTGTATATTGTAATACTTGTATATACGTAACATATATATATATATTTTTATATCGTACCAAGAGGGAAACCATGGACTAGCACAACCGGCCAGATTGCCTTTGTACATGAAATACTGCATAAGTTAATAATGTTTTATATTGCATGGCTACAGTAGTAAAGAGATACAGTATAAGGCAAGTTATCTGGCTTACGCCATTACAGACAGCCGACCCGTTAACACTGTTCCGACATGGAGTAGACTGTTCATACGAGGCACTGTATCATATGCTACAGTATAGGATAGTATACTGAAATACTATTAAAGTGACGGAGTGCAAACAATAGGCGGTGGAGTACTACACGTAGGATCGGTTACTATAGCGACAGAAAGGACACAAACGCTAAACAACAATTTGCAGTCAAAGTCGTCAATTTGGAGGAATATCGTATACAAGAATATCTCGCTGTGCCCTGCTGTACAGGCATATCATATAGGGCTTGTGGTGCAGTTAATAAATAAATTTTAGATACTACACCTTATTATGCAGTTTAGGGTAGACCCTTATTGCCACAACGTTCAAGCATCAAATAGTACAACTACTTTGAAAAATTATTGAATATTTGGCTGAACACGCTTAAGTTAGCCAGCTATTAATTCAAAAATTTCCGTCTCAACAAGTAATCATTTCATTAACGCCGCATAAGTTAAGGGAGCATTGAGGATTACTCTATTTTCTTTATGGATATTACTTGCATTTAACCAGAACTTTCACTATACACGTTGAAATTTGATACCAAAATTCGACAGCTGATCTTGACAACCCATCGCGATATACGAACGAAAGATTGAAACAATTTTCTCCCTGGAAACGACCATTTCCAAACAGATAAACACTAATTTATTATCATAATCTTGAATCAACGTTTAGCTCACGGTGCAAATACAGCAAACTAGATATTACAATGAATATTGCAACGGTTTCTGGCTCCATTGACTTTGCCACCTTCCGAAAGTTGAAAAAGACTCACAATGTCGGAGGAATTCTAGTAAGTAAAGGTAATCATGGCAAAGCATCCTCCATACCAAGTGATGTCTTGAGAATCCTAGACCCGGCCAAAAAGAAATTAACTTCCGTCGAGGGACAACGAATCTTGGCAGTGATTTCAGAAGGAATTAAGAGAGTAGAAATTGTCAGTTTATGCAAATATGCAATAGAGAACCTAGATCGATTTTCAGTAAGCTTTGGCACTGAACTAACTAGTTGTTTAGAAGCGCATAAAGAACTTCTTACTAAATACATGGATATTTGGACAGAATTAAAAAATGTAACAGGAACTGATTTTTTCTCTCTTGGAGTATCTAAAACAACAACCCGCCGTGCTAGTTCAGCAACTTCACATAGTGATCGTGGAGAAGACACCGCTGATGTCCACCACCTTAGTGACAAGGAAAGATTTAAAGGTCAATATAATTATCTCCAAACTCTAGAAGGGCAAATTTATCACTCATGTAGGACTCTGCTTCGTCACTTCTCCAACAATCCCACTGCAGTGGATGCGTTGAAATCTGAAAATATCGCAATCAATCGTCAAAAAGAAACTGGTGATCTCATCGCTACAATGGTCGAACTAAAGGCCATACTATTAAGTAAGCTACTAACTACACCTAATGAAGAAAAGATTAAGGAGCAACACCTCGCTCATGTTACTCAGAGTGAACGAAAAGCCGGTGAAGTGATAAAAATGCTAGAAGCAGAATTAAATGCAGCTGTAGAGGATAGAGATGAAGAGGTAGTTTTGATAATGCTCATTCACGTAAGCGTAGCAAGAGAGTTTAATTTTTTTTTTAATATTTTAATCTGTAGGTGTCAAAGCGGAACGAGATCATCCGTCGCTTAAAAAATGATCTTCATAGCATAGAAAAATATAGTGAAGAAATGAATAGGCGCACATTATCAGAAGCTGTTAAACAAGAAGCAGCCGATACAAAAAATTCCGAAGGCAGACGTTCCAAAATGCAACATGACATTGCTAATATACGCCAGACATTAGCAACAATAACGCTTACTCATAGAGAATCCGAACTTAATTTAAGAAAGAAAAAATATAAACTTGAGACTGAAGTGGAAAACTGGATTCAAAAGTATGATCAAGATATGTCAGAAAGACAGGTTAGCCAACTGTTAAAATTGTTCATTATAAGAAGCAATTAAAAATGTATAAATTAAAGTACCTATAATTAATTTTAAATTAAAAATTGTAGAATGAAATAGAAGAAATACAAGAAGTTTACACTAAAGAAAAGGCTCAGCTAGCAGCAATAGAAGGAAAGTTTAAAACATTAAAGGAAGAATATGACGCTATTATGAAAGAGAGACGAATAGCTAGAGAAGCAGCAGAAGCCGCAGAACGTCAAATGGCTGCAATGGCTAGAGCTGCCATAAGAATTCAAACTTATTATCGCGCATTTAAAGCACGTAGATTGCTACAGAAGAAAAAAGAAAAATTACGCAAGAAGAGAAGAAAGGGTAAAGGCAAAAAGACGGGAATGCTTTCCAAATTAGGAAGGAAACGAAGAAGATAATTGGTTGAATGGACGTCCAACATCTACACTTTCCTACTCAATATAATATTTTCAATATACAGTATATGATTTTACTGGTGTTTATTTCATCATTTTCTTTATGGATAATATGCTATTGCATAAGCACCCATTTGTATCATATTGCAGTTCTTGCTAAATTTTTTAATATGCTTTTGGATTTTAGTGTAATATGTAAATCTTTCTAATTAATCAGTGTAATATAATATTAATAACTAGGGCAATAATTTTCGCGAAGAGTTATAAATTAAGTTAGTCATAATAATATCTCAGTGAATGTAATACAATGGTAGCTATCGGTAAACCAGGACAAAGGTAATCACAACCTGTACCTCAATGTAAATACCAAGATACTCACTTAATTCATTTTTTTCTATTTCATTTCTGGCTTTTAAAGCATTTTATAGGATAAATTAGTATCGCTTTTATATCATCTCGAGAATTATATAATGAATATAAATATCTCACCAGCATAATGCACTTACAGAATATATATTTATATATTATGCTTATATCAAATGACAGTAGTATGTCTTATAAAATAGAAATACAATACTTATGATTTCATTTTATGTAATTCAATTGTTTAGATATTGCATTAAAATAGCCATACTAATAGTAATCTACCTCCATTTTATTCTACCTTGGTACTTATCAGCATGTATGGAGTGAATCATTAATATAAATTTACACTACATGCAACTAAAAGCTGATTAACACTCGTTTGATATAGACTAAAATGACAGTAGTAATCCCAATTAACCTTTAATCTCTGACCGACTAATTCGGCAATAATAGCGATATTTTTAAATCACACCTTATTTAGTTAACCATCTTTTTGACTGGCGATAAATCCTTCAGCTTTGTCATTTTGACAAACACGAGGCTTTTACTTTCAGATTGTCTCCTTATTACCACTCTGAGTAATTATATTTAATCGAAGTTATTAAGCAGTTTACTGTTTCTGGGCTTTGATTATAATGCGTATTTAAAACAGTCCATGCATAGAAGATAACCAGTTAACTCATACTTACTGCAAATAAATGCGCAACAGACGATTCCAAAGCTCCTATTTTAGTCAATGCAGTTACTTAGATGCCTTCTTGTCAAAAGCTTTTTGCTTTCATTTTCATTTTATTCGGACTCTTATTTCCTGCAGATAAACTTACAGTGCAAAATTCAGAGAGTGTTAGTGTGCAGTAATGCAACCAATCTAAATTACATAAAGCAGTGTCCTAATCGAACGGGAAAAGGAAATTAGTTTACCGCTTTTTCAATATTTTGATACGTGAACTGTTATTAGGGCTAAAATTCAGGGTTTACTTATTGTTAGGAACTAGGCTGGCATTTAATGGAACAAGGAATGATTAGATTGCGTTATAAAAGGCCTTACTTTGTTCTACTTTGATTTAATTTTATTTAATCCGCAGCGACTCTTTTGATATCCTTATTTGATCAATAAAAGCGCTTCTACATATAATGATTGAAAATGATTTTGATTTGGGTATGGAATAATACGATTGACTCCACTACAGGTTAGGACGATATTTTAGTTGACAAAGCGTGACTGAACTCAATAAGTTATAACTGTGCAGTAGTCCCCGCCACCTTACATAAAGTTCTTCGAATATTCAGCTATTACTGTTAGGACATAATAATACGGAGCTACTGCTACTCAGCCAGTTACCAGCCTTGGCCTCTTAATGGCGTCGCTTGCCAAATACGGCGTATTAATTCATTTACCGTATAACTAGAATGATCTTCCGTACGCGTATAGTGTACCAGGGCTACTATAAAGGTTCCCGACTGCATGACGCATTATACTACAAGTTTAAAAGGCATCCGCCCAAGTTGCAAGTTAATTACAATTTTTCTTTCGTTTACTTTCACTACTCAAAACGATCAAAAGTAATTTTTAGAGGCTTATACGACTAGCTGACTCTACGCGTACGGTACGCCGATATGGTATGGACTTTTAGAAATATACCAAGTACAGTATATTTGTAAAAGTTCATGGTATCTATCAGTAAGTTCATGTCTGGGCCCATCGAATTCTATTTTACATTGTCTTGAATTACTAAAAGAAGACTAAAAGAAGATCTTCGTTATGTTCTCCCGGGCGATACTAGTGTCAATCACGCAAGACCAGGTTAGACATTGCAAAGTAGGCTGAAACGTGGAGTCCACTTTCAATTCTGGGTTGCCTTCCCACAAGTGAAATACCAATATATACAATCTGATTCTTTTCCATGGCACCCTTCGTTAAGAAATCAAAGTCGTATTCCGTTATGATATTTATGTATATATACAGTAGCCGTAGTTTGGGCTAGATGGAACTTCTACAATTTTATTTTTCAGTCAATGAGTAGACGTTCTAAGTCGATCTATCAATGACTATCATACATAACAATCTTCTTCTAGTAGTCCATGGCTGCATGCATTAACTTAACTTAGACAAGTTTGGCTAGCCAAGCAAATGCTTTATTGGCAGTACTTTACTTTAACGATCTCTGGTGCAGTACACTGTACCGTACATACTGTCTATTGCACAGTACAATGTACTGTACAGTATAATCATGGTATTGTCAGGGATTATACTGTAGTTTCCTGGTATTGTTATTCCATGACTACACGTCAAAGTTTGTACCCTCTGATTAGAGCCATAAAAATGGTCCATAAACCTAGTAGTCGTAGAGGCCCATATTAAAGCGCAGTAAGGTCAAACTTTTAAAATGGTGTATTATTTATACCTATACTGTATTGCCAGAGACTAGTAAGAGAATTTTCTCTTTCAACCATGCTTGAGTCCTTTGAGGAATACTATCATATGCATGACATGAGCGCGAGTGCAAATCTCGAACTGTATCGTACGGTATCTGTTCAAATTGTCCGAGAGGAGAATCGATTACAATATTGTACAGTCCGCTGCAGTAGATACCGTTCGAGTGCAGTAGAGTGTATGTTATTAATTAATTAATTAATTAATTATTAATGAATTGATAGTAACGCGTACAATGTAGAGTAACTTCTCTACTACAGAACAAAAATAGAATGAAATAATTTCAAGCATACCGCAGTATGATACTGAGTAGTGAGTGTTAGGGTTATACCAGAGACATGTAAGAGAAAATCTAGCTTTTCCCTCAGTCCCTGACCACTGAATTAGAATGCTTTTGAGTGAGCCTTTTGAACGAGTGCCGTTCAAAGTCGATCATTTTCCTCTCCCGTTCTTGAGGAAAGTCTAAAGGTACGACTACTATTTAGCTTCAATTTTGCCACAAACATTCTAGATGTGTAGTAGGCCAGTACTACTAGGTACTGTCCATGTACATCAGTGGCTTGGCCTACGCATGCTATATTTTTACCTTTATTCATCTTTAAAGTCAAGTAGGAAGGGAATAAAAAAATTGTTCAAGACTCGATTGTTCATTTGCTGCTCTCTTCTATAAATTTCATTTGGATACGGTTGCCGTCACGCTCGGTACGGTACGGTAGAGTTTGATGAGAAAGTCCAAATGTCTCTAGAGTACAGTATTGTTCAATACTGTAGAATAGAATAACAAGTACTGTAGAACACTGTAGCAGTACTGTACTGTACAGTACATTGCATTCAATCCATTTTGTCCGATCGATGTGAATACGGACGTCTGGAGTGCACCTTGGTCAGTTTATGGTCCGTTTGGTCTAGTCGTGTGCGTGTTGTACAATGCAGTGAATGTACACACTACAGCGGTTGGCATCCAGTACAGTGTACAGTACTGACACATCTTGAATACCACACGACAAAGTACTGTCGAGTAGAGTACACACGTACTGTAGCTCCAACTAGTTTTAGACCAGAGTCTAGTTTGCGACTGTGCGAATCCATTTCAAATCTATTGTTTTCTCCAAATCCATCAAATTATCACTGGCCAATGAACAGACTGTCAAGAAGAAGAGTTTGGACGGTAAAAGCTTGAGCCTTGAGGACAACATTTTCATTCAGCCACAGGTATTGAAACATTTATTTTCTGCTGCCATGTTATCAATGCTTGGAGAAGGTGAACAACACTATCGTGATAGCAGAAAATAAAACCAAATTATCTACTTAAGTAAATAACCTACTGTACATGACGCGATCGTGCAATCTTTCTTGTAAGCTTGAATTTTTAGCCATCATCGTTGATGATTGAATTTTTTTTTTTTTGTCTTTCTGTTTGTTGCCCAATCCTGCTAGCTGTATTGCTAACCAATGTTTGCTCAGTTTTTATAAACTGTACTCAACTTTAATCGACTAATTTGGCCAAGTCATACATTTGCTGAACTACAAAACCTCTTCATACTCAAGTTGCCGGCTTATGAATCAAGGAGAAAAGACAATTCAACATTTTTACAACAACGTTATCCTTTATTGCTGCCTAATTGACTTCAATACGCCACAAGTCTTCATAGACCTATTTCGCTATCCTAGTCGCGTCTAATAACGATTATTCTCAAGGTGAAATTAACCATCTTGTGGAATTGAAATTGCACGTATTACAAAAAGGCTTATCACAATCACCCATTTAGCCCTGTATTACAACAGACAGATAAAGAGAGTTGTCAGTCATCCTTTTGCTAACTCAAGCCACTAAACCATGTCCAACAAAATGGGAATCAACGATGGTAGAGGCGACCATCATCGTAGTGGAAATAACTATAATACATATAAGCGCCCGACGTATTCGAGTAGTTCCGGTGAGGAAGACATTATCGATGGTTTCGCAATTTCCTCATACTCTTCCGTCACAGCATTGGAGGTAAGATAAATCGATTGCTTGTAATAATAATAATAAATAAAATAGCCTATTGTAACTTACAAGACTTTCATCCGTCACCATTTTTGCCATCCAATGTAACTTGCAATCATGTTGAACATGACTGTAAAATACTGACGTCGTACGGTATGAATTTTCAAGATGGAGTAGCGATTGAAAGTATAGCATCACCGGTATTCACATTACCTTGTACAGTTTATCGATACGCTTGTTCACTGATAGTGTCATGATTGGAGTGTTACTAACGAGTAGTACTAATAATTACTTTATACATGATGGAAAGAATGTGAATATGAACGACTATACACAAATCGAAAGAGGATACCGCTTCCATGCAGTCAAACTACTGCATACGTGGAACCGTGGTGATTATTTTACTTTTGCATGCCCGTACGGCGTTAAACAATTCGTGAACATTTGTCGACAGAATGTGAGATATTCATGTGCTAGACTTGTGTACTCGATAAAGTAGTAAATTTGATAGTCAATCCTGTCACAAATGAAAATGAGAAAGGAATGTGGCTAATTGATTAATTCGCGTATATCATGTCTCAAAATCATTCTTCAAATGAGGTTCTATTTTGGCCTTTGCTTTCATTTGTGCTATAATGACTGTAGACTGCACATTGGAAAGTGACTAAAAAGACACTACTTGTAATATCAACTCGTTCAGTGTCACTGGCTAGTTTCCACTGCTATACCGTATCTTGTCAATGAATTTTCAAAGTAGAATTTATGTTGTACAAATCATTTTGTAAACTAGACCCGTAGTTCATTCCATTTTGCAAGATTATTCGTATATTGTCATTACCCTAGTACATTCTTGCTTATTGATGCGGTATTTGGTGCTATAGTATTCAAGCACTGATTTCGCTAGACAGACATTGAAAATTTTTTCCATGGAGAAGTGATTTTTGCCAACCTTAGAAGTGCTTTATCATAGGCTGTTGGACAACATGATCAATGTAATACCAATTGTATCATTACTTGGCCAATGGATTAAACAGTTTACAGCACCTTCCCCTTTCAATGACATTATTGTACATCAGACTAGAGAAGTGAACCGTACTACAAGTCATTGCTGGTATGGTGTGATGACACTAGTTCGTTGCCACTACACTATGTATGGAGAGAGAGAGAGAGACTGTAGTGATCACACACTGTGCTCGACCCGTCAAAGTCATCGTGATAGAAGTGAGACTAAAGTCAAGTGACTAAAGATCAATGTAGTGGTGTCACGCAACTCAGGCGTTTGTATCGTACTTTCACTCGTGTCACGACACGTCCGTTAATAATGTGTACTTTCAGTCCAGTCCAGTCCAGTCCGGTCCAGTACGGTACGGTAGAGTATGACGGGTGTTATAATGTGGAGTGGACAATGGCGATCCCTTTTCTTGCATAGCTACTAGTAAAATGCTCCAAAAAGATCAATCGTTATCAACCTTCCTCGACACATAGATCTGTTATTGTAGAAAGTTACTCACTTATTATCCCTACTTATTAAAATCATGCATGGCCGATCAATTTTGTACAAATGGATGCAAAAATGACAATCTTCAAGGGATGCAATCACGTCCTAAAGTAGTGTAAATGGAAACAAGTACAGTAATTAAAGGACTATACGGTACAGTCAGGGACGACCATCAACTGATGCCTAGGCAACTGTGGATCAGATGAATCAACGGTAACTGTGTATTAGCTTAAAATTCCAATGGTAGAATTCGTATCTCATAGTTTCTGCGTTTGTCTGTGACGACGTTCCTCACGTCAGTTGGACTATAAGTCTCTCACGTACTGTATAATTGATATGTACACTTGATGATGGATCATCATCATAATAACAATCAATATACACTCTTCAAGGAAAGGGTTATAACTAAGGGCCCGTGCGGTGTAGAGCACATGTTACAGTTGACATCTTTCTAACGGATACAATTCCTCCTTCGGTGCCAATCTCTCATCGACATGCTTGATCATAATATTATTATAAATGTTAGAACACACTGCCTTGTCGTTGACTCACGCTTTGTGGGAACCCTTTCGGCTTGTACATGTCGCATACACGCGTATAGAGATTGGAATAAATCTATCAAGGTGTACGACCAATGATGCATTCTGTAGAATACGTAATGGTTTTTCTTACTGTTCATTCTAGTAGAATGGGACGATAATGGAAATGGATAGTAAGGACAGTGTAAGTAGTTCGTTCTTCACTGCCTAGCTATCTACCATCATGATGTTAACACCGACATCCTTCAAATGGATTGTCACTCTACATCATACTTTACTATTATCTACAATCATGTTGCAACAACTCTGATAAATGCTGAAACATGGGATTGACATGTTACGCCGTATTACATTATCGTACAAAGATGCAAAAAAAAACAATTTAGTGTACTTGCTATATGTTACGTTACAATAAAATAAATAGATGAGCATTTTAGACGCTAACCGCAATCTCGTAGGTACTCATCAGATCAGTACCGATGATTACACCCATCTAGTTGAGTCTTGATATATGAACATCATCATCAATATCAATTGTTGGAATAATTGATACAGGAAAAAAATTGGCTTAACAAGCATCTCATCAGTCATATGAAGTTGTGAGCTACCGGCTACAATTTTGAACTTGTAGCTTCGCGGACAACTCTTCAATACTAAGACAAGAGAGCATTTTGCAACGATTAAAAATTTTGTTATAGCATTGATAGCCAAATTACGGACAAGAAGTATGCGACTGGCATAATCACACATTCTCGCTAATTACAACATTGGATGACGCGCACGTAGTTGACAATATTGATCGTATTATTAAAAAAAATTTCTTTTCTATTTCAATGTAGGCGAGAGTAGCTACTGATAACCATCAGCGTAATAGGAATCTGAGAGGTATGAAAGAAAATTGTTTACATACCAGAAAAAGGAGAACAAGAAAACGATATAAGGTATACATGAAAGGGTAATCGATAACTGTATACCGTATATTCCTAATGTTAACTGGAGTGATTAAGAGGTTTATATATTTCAAATTGACCAATTGCCATCATTCTTAAAATTGTAGCTGTGTAAGGCGTTTAACATTAATTCTTCTCCATCGATTATTCAAATAGATATCAAGAAGTAGTCCCGACAATTCTAATTCATCTGTATTAGCGTTAAAATTGGTTGACGACGATGTTAGTCGTACAGAATGTTATAAAGCTTAACTTGAAATAAATTGCGATTCATTCATACATTGATGATAATAATAATATACTAATAAATAATGATAATTATTTAAATACTTAGGGAATATCATCGGTTTCCTCCGGAGATGATAAGGTTACTTTTAACTCTTATTTAAGATAAATCGTCATAAAATGTAACGCTACTCCAATAGTGCTAAACTAAAATTTCATTTTCACAATATATATATATATATATACATATATAGTGCGAAAATGAAGATGAAAACCTGAATACCATATCATATCGGGATATGAATAAGTCTGTAAGTTTCTTCTACACATTACGCCAGATTATCAATTAATTATAGAATGAATAGGTTCTTTGGCTTTAAAATTTGTTATCATCCTACTTAATGAATTAGCATTAATGTACAACTAGAATATAAAACTATTCAAAATGTTTTCTTTTAACTGCAATAATCAGTCCTTATCGAGTTATATTTGTCAGCAGTAAAAGTTTTCGCTTGACACTGTATATTTTATCTATGCAATTCAATCAATAGAACAAGGAAGGACGTCATATCTTGAAAGGTGCGAATTAAATTTAATCGCTACAAGCATGTATTTGATAAATGCATCAATAGAATAGTTCACATTTACTATATAGAACATAGCAAACGTTAGTTAATTTATTTAATACTTTTATGCATTACAGGAGAATTTCTATCAGAAACAAATTCCAATATTTCTGGCAAGCTGAGCGTAGCAAGCATTATTGGAAATTCATCTGCGTAAGTAAAACCGCTACAGAATATTTTTGACTTAAATCTTGCCGCTATTATATCTGTAATAAATAAACCTTCAATTTTTCTGTCACTCCAATGTATAGTTATTCTTTATCGATCGGTAGCATTACTATTATTGTCTACTAGTTTTTTAGTTTGTAACTATTTCATTTGTTGATTAATTGAAATCAACAATTGATTATAATTCTAGTGATAGCAATAGCCTGCGTAGCAAAAATCATGGTTTAAATCGTGAACAGGGAGAAGCGCATACGCAGAACGGTAATTCAAAGACAGATATTTTATGTACGCGTAAACTATTTCGAATATGTAATAATACCATGCGAACTTTAATTTGCTACTGCTTCATACTAACAGATCAAGGGCTACGGGCGATAAGAACACCTGTTCGACGAATTGGTGACTTAGACAGTCAGGTATGTGACTATTTCTAACATCAGTCGTATCCACACATATAATTGGATGATATAATAGTATTTATTTAGTTCTTAGGCAGGTAAACCTAAATATTACCAAGTGTTATCATTCAAAAATTATATGTAAACGTGAATTATGGCAATGCACACCGTTAAACCCTATCTATTTATATCATTATTTACAGATATCGGGAAAATGGTGTAATGCCCATGTTAAAATTGCTCGCTTAATTTTACAAGAGAAATTAAAGGAGAAAGTACGTTTTCATAATAATATTAATACCAAATTATAATTTATCCGTATATTACAGTAAGTAATGTCGCTTTATAATAACATAAAAACTTATTTATATAGGATCGAACAGATAATAATAAAGACCCTGCTAGTAGTAATTCTATCCATACCATAGCATCTAGCCGATATGATGGTGCAACAAATTTACCGGGATATACATTACAATCTCAAGTTAAAGATTCAGTCGTTCCTCCTCTTGGATTGTCTGTGTATCCAGGTTGTAACTAAATCATGAGTAACTTTTATTATAGTATAATTAGTAGCTATTTTTTAAATCACACTTACCAGGTTAAATACATTTATAGGTTATTCGTTTCCAAATGCACCCGGAGCTGCTACACAAAACGGACAAGTAGGTTCTTCGTATGACATGACTTCAGGTACCAGTTCTATTCTTGGAACAAGATCGATCGGTAACTATGGTAGTAGTAGTCCGTATCAATCTCCAAATTTACCTTCAGTGGTAAAAAGAGAAGAAGTAACATCGATGAACAATTCCGGACCAAGTGGAGGCAACTGGGGTAATCTTAGTAGGTATGCTGTATAAAATACAATACTAAAAATTATTTTAATACAGTAAGTTATCAATTTTATCTTTTCATTTACTGACTCGATCATGTATTGTACTGCATCATTTTTAATCAGAGTTCATGCCGACCAAGTTTCCAAACGATCGGAAACCAAGTCACCCAGTAAGGCCTCACATTCTCCTGATGTTGAAGCCATTAATGGCTCTACTACAGGTACAACCGCCATCAAAAATGAATCAGAGAATGAAAATCGAAATACAACGAAAAAAGACACTTTACAAGATGATAAAAAATCTGAAGGTGATTCATATGTGAAAGATCACGGAAATGATGCTACTCAAGCCCAGCCAATTAATGACTCTGTGAACAAGGAATTAGATTCTAAGAAAGGCGATAAAAGTAGCTTTGTTAAAAATAGAGGAAGCCCGCTACTAGAACACACTAGACCTGGTAGCAATCACATAAATCAAGCTGAGCGCAACGTTAGAAATCCATCGCCTAGAGCGCGTTCTAGTGGATCAGAAAGTAGTCGTTTAAAAGCTTCCGCTAGTCATATCATGGACAGCGGAAGGGCGGATTCGGTCCCCAGGCTCAGTATGGGTCACAATACTGGAGCACTAAGAGAAATTAATACTGCAGAAAGATATTTTGCTTATGGGCCTGATATCTCCTCAAATACGAATCCGTTAATGAATCAATTAGAAATGAATCAGTTATATAGAAATATGTTTAATCAACACCCATTACAGTCTCCAGAATTTGCACATGCATCGAACGCGAATGTACCACAGCAATCTCCATACATTGACCAAAGGCACTTTAATTTAGTTACTGCTAATAGTTCACTATCACAATATGGGATAGATGCAACAACCGCTTACTACTTAAGTCAGCATCCTAGTGTATCAGGCTATAGTGGCCAACTAGGTAGTGCTCTTAACTCTACCAATTATTCGGTTGATATGCGAAAATTTGAGCAAGCAGGCCCGATATTATTTGGCGGTTTAAGTTCAGGCATATCTCAGAGTCCTTCAGCACATCAAAATGGAATACCCGGTATGATACACGGTATGTCACCAAGATTATCAGCACCTGGAATGTCGGGTGGAATTAGTAATAAACCGGTGGGCGTTTCAAGCCTGGATCAATTGCAACTTACTGCAAATTCAGTATCAACTCATAGTCAGCCAAGTTATGGAATACGTCCGCCCTCAGGTGAAGATCCTGTTAATCCTTTGAACACTATTCCAATAACATCTTCCTTGCATCCTGGCTTTAGAGGTACTAAGCCAGATTCAAGAGATGATCGATCGACATCTAATTAATTCGACCATATAACCTATATGATTTTAAAGTATTGAATGAAGAAAGCACATTAGCGATTTACTTTTCAAAAGGAATTGAAATTTTGTATTATACGTGACATGTAAATTCATCGTTAATAATATTTTAACCCTATTCTTCGTTAGCTCTTGGTTGAAAATTTCGAGTGTATGTTCCATAATGTTGATATTTATGAATCTATCTTTAAATAATATGGTACACTGTATATTATGAACAAATCTTACAACATATTTTATGTCGATTTCGTAATTTTTCGTTGATGCATTTAGTCATATGTATTTCCACTAAGACCACTTAACGTATTATTCTGTGAAAAATTCAATGAAATCGTATTGTCTATCTAATGGATTAATAATATAGTCCAATAAGGATAATCGAACAAAACAGTATCTACGATAATGATCCATCTTCTATGTATAATCCACCAGTTTAATAATAATAATATTGGCAAAATTAATGGCGGTGACAAATTCTGTTTATTAATTCTCTTATAAAATATCGCCCATTTTCAATTCTTGTAAAGTATATCTGCATAATTAATACGATTTTCTTGTCTGCCGATACGGTAAAAGATCTATCGGGTGTATCATTTTAGTTGTATACTGTGTATCAGCGCTACATAGTTCAAAAAATTTTGCTACTTTACGCTAAACTTAATAGTGTCGCCGATCATGTTTGGTGAAGGATTGTGTCTTATGTACATGTTTTCTTGCTATCTTAAAATGCTGATTTTACCAAGTGTTTTTTTGTAATATGATTTATATAAGAATATGATGACCAGATACTTCACCACACATTGATTAAACTTGAAGTTATGTTGCTGTTTTATCTACTGTCACTATATTAAGAGTACTGTATAATGTACTTTCATTGAATAGTACACTGTTTTGCTCTATTACTATTAATAACTATTTCTGATTGACTATTACGGTGATAGTACTAATTCTTTATTGTAACTTATCTTACAATTGATAAAAGAAAATTCTTGTATTATAAGTCACCATTTGTGACAACGGTATTCGTCTATCTACTCGTTATATTCCGAATAACTATGATACGAATGGGTCATCAGTATTTTGTACTCTCTTTTATTCGATTTCTAATATTGATATTACAGTATGAGTTGGGCTGCAAGACCATTTAGGGTACTAAAATTTGTACAGTAAAGTCTATTTGACCTTGTCTTGTGACCCGTGATACAGCAATAATATAATTGAAACTAGGATAAAAATCATGGCGGCAAATTAATTCTTGGTTAAATTTTACGACGTGACGGTAAATATAGTAAAAGTAAATAGGGCGCAGAGTTGCGAATGACAATCCCTTTCTTGAAAGGAGTACAACTTAAGTTGACACATGGAACACTTTAAGACTCAACTTTATTTAATGATGTATGTACTGTAATTACAGTAGAAAATATTTAGCACGTCTGGCTCTGCTAACAATCCATTGACTTGTGGATAAATAAGCGCCGTCAATTCGCATTCGGTCTCATTTTACTTTTTGCCTTAGCAGTCAAGATTGTTCGCAAGTGCTTCATTGAGTTCATTTTGAGTTAGCCTCTAAGGGAATTTAAATTTTCAGCTTCGATCTGGGTCAATGATTTCATCGTACTGCTCTACATAAGAGTGCAGTTGCCTTGTGCATTATGCTGTGTGTACTGTATACCTCAGTTTATACAGTGCAACCTATTTCATCACGTTATAACAGCTGGCATTTATTACGATTATAATTATCGATATAATCCTAGCTGATTGCTACCAATTTATTACTCTAATCTAATTTTATAGATAGTAATAGATATGGAAAGATTTCGCTTATATGACGAGGGTCTTAACTAAACAATGACTACTATTTATGAAAAATGAACGATAAATCTTTCAATTTCTCTATTTTCCATATGCGCCTAGGATAAAATTAATCAATAGACTGATATACAGCTCTACGCGTATGACAACTGCTATTTATTGCAACAATCAGGATAATCCTAATTAATGGTTACTCATTTCAATATTAATCCAATGTACAAATAGTAACATATGTAAATTAATCGAAAAGCTCATAATAATTAACAATCTACCATCCCTTCTCCTTATTTTCCTTAAATTGATACAATCAATAAATACTCATACTTAATTATTGCGATTTATTATAATGTTATAGCACTTAAAATTGTTCTGCTATGCATGCTACTGTCGTATCCTCTATTTTTCCGAGTTGCTACCAATACAAAAGTATCGCTTTCATAGTAATCTATTATGCAGATCAATACATAAATTCAAATATCATCAATATTGTTGCGCTTTTCCTCTCTTTGATATAGCTACTACTGAAGGAAAAGTTTAAGCTTTGAACTCTATTCCAATAAATCAATTTTCATTGCTAAAAGTGAGAAAATCGATTTTTAATATAGTAGAGGAGATTATGAGAAAGATTCGTAATTCCTTGGTCAGGGTAGTATCGTTTCCCAATCCTATCCTAGGTTCACAATACTCTGCTTGATACCATTGATATGGTTCATACTGTCTATAGTTATTTTAATGAGAGAGATGAAACTATACTAGAATGCCTAGGCCTTAACGCGCATGGCTCTTCTACGCTACAGTACTGCACCATCCATCCATTCGATGACCAAAAATCAATTTTCTCTCAGCAACATCGACAAGATCAATGAGAAGTTTTTTATCGAATCACTCGTTCTATCTAGCAATCTGAGCCATGTTTTATGTATTCCTTGGTTTATCCACTTATATTGCTACTTCTACCTTCTTCTTATACAATCCCCAATTATTACATGGTAAAAAAAAGTCTGCAATTAAATGCAGGCATATTAGCCATCGTGGAGGTAAACATGGTCAATATTGTGCATTTCGTAAATTATTTCTAGAAATAATGTAGACCTGATATATCTAGATATACATCGATTGATTCAGTTGATACTATTTTCTGTACTTGTTATACAACGAGATGCATAGATACCTGAAAGCTAGAGTATCGATCAAGTTCTACTTTAATGTATCTTCGTATCTTAGTAGCATAACGCTTAAGTTCATACGTAAAGACCTTTTATACTCCTTTGCTGTCAACTTACCTCGGAAAGAATCATAAATCAGATATACATTTATTGATTCTGCTTACTCTATTTTCTGTACTTGTTATACAACGAGATACATAGACACCTGAAATTTAGAGTATCAATCAACCTCTACCTAATGCGTACTTGTATTCTTATGCTTACGCAATCTTCTGTGCTTCTTATACTGTACAACGAGATGCTATATACACTCCTGAAAGCTAAAGTATCGATCAAGTTCTACCTAATACGTATTCGTATCTTAGTAGCATAATGCTTAAGTTCAGGCTTGAAACCATTTCTATGCTCCTATGCTGTCATCTTACCTAGGAGTGGACTGCAAATCTAGATATCCCGTATACGCGTCTCTACAACTTTACCCTGTTTACTCTATTCTCTGTACTTCTTATACAATGAGATGTCTAGATACCTAAAAAGCTAGCGTATCGATCAAATTATACCTATTATGTATTCGTATCTTAGTAGTATAATCTTTAATTTCCATGCTACCATCTTTACCTAAGAATAGATTGCAAGTCTTTGATCGAACTTCTAATATGTAATATAATAATCAATTTATTTATCAGGTGCTGCTGAAAACTTGGAGAATACTATCACTGCTTTTAAACAGTAAGTAACCTCCCATCATACGTATCTTTTCTAGGCATATCTTCTAATTTATAGAGTTGCTTAGTAATGCTATTTCTTGCTGTCGAATTACAAGACCGTACAATGCTGTTGAAAGGAAATTTTAGTGTCCTATACTATATTACCTTGGACTACAGTGATAACAATCGTAATGAAAATAAACTCGACAGGATCGTGGTCGATTCTCTTTTTTCCAACTATAGTGACAATTAGGAAATAATACGAAAATAAGAGTACGTTTTAAGGAGACTTAGAATTAGTTTTATTGATTTAAACAGTTCGACTACTGTAAAATCTACAGCTCTGCAGGCAACCTGACAACAAAGTGATTATGAATTATAAAACTGATTCAAGACACAAGAATAATAATCTGATATAGAATGGCCAAGAATACTACATACTCGCATCTGCCTCATATCTCATATTATTCTACTATATGGGATGTTGAGGGCTTCCAAGAAAATGTACCTAAATCGAATGTTAGCCGTTGCACTATTATCGTATATGTTAATGCGATATTCTCTAATCTAATTTATAGTATTTGTAAACAGCACTAAAGCAAGCAAGAGTATCTAATAAGGATATTAAATAAATAATTCTAATCAATTTTTTATGTAGATTATTACGTTTGATAGCTAAAATGTAAGCATTGACAATGAATATGCTTCTATCAGATGTTTAATTTCCTATTTTTAAAAATCTATAATCGCTCATTAGCAATATTCAAGCTAAAAAAATAAGTATGGTGAATATTGAAAAGTACGCGTATACGTAGATGGGATGATTATCCAAAACAATATAAAATACGATAATGTAGGACAAACAGCCGAGTTAGTTAATATAATGTGTATAGAGTAGCGAGCGATTGCAGTTGATAATTGGTATACTCCTTAATACCACTACTAAACGTTTAATAGTGATATAAATCCGACACAGATACAGCTATACTGTAAAACATATAGTATCTAGAATTTTTATAGTAAAACTCTTACAACCTTATCTTTAAAAATTTAATTCATAACTATCCTTTATGCTGTCTGACAGATGGTTTTTATCTTTGCTTTGCAGTGCAATCGATTGTGATACTGACATGCTGGAGATTGATCTACACATCACAAAAGATGGACAGGTTGCAAAATGCTACTTAAGTTGCTAATAAACGGTCTACAGTTTAATCAAATCTATTTCTCATTACTTAATTATTTGACTACTTTTAGGTAGTGGTATCACATGATGATTATCTTTCAAGATCTTGCCAAAAAGCAATATATGTTAATCAAACTGATTATCAGGTAAAATAGCGAGCTATACATCTTAATCTAATACTTGTTGCATTAAACTGATAACAGTAAAATTCTATCCTATCCAACACTTACCATTGCAAACATACGTAATTAACGAGTAATAAACCTTAGGATTTACCGATGCTTGAACCTCCTCTGAAAGTTACTTTCACAAAAGATGATTGGTGCTATGGTGATCGTAGCGATCGAAAAATAGCGCTATTAAGTGAAGTGTTTGATGCATTTGCGAATACTCCTATTAATATGGACCTCAAAGTTTGCGATGAAAAGCTAATCATTCAGGTTATCAGGAATGAGTTTAATTATAATTGATTGAGACTTGTTATAATGTACTATTGGACGACATTATATTAGTCTACGTACGATATCAGATAATACTCAATGTTTGCTTTGTAGACGGACTGTTTAATCAGAAAGTACAAGAGAGAAAACATAACCATTTGGGGAAGTGCAAATGATGTCGTTTTGCAAAAATTATACTTACAAGTACATACAATAAATGGTTTTATTGAATAATATGATAGCGTTATCAACCTTTGTTTTAATCTTCAATTAAAATATCTCTTTAGAATCCTGAAGTTCCAACATTTTTCTCTAAGAGACGTGTGGTGATTACAATTTTACTTTTTTATACTGGTTTGTTACCGTTTGTTCCCATCAAAGAATCGTACTTTGAGGTGATTATGCCAAGCATAGTTAAAAAGTGAGTAACCTCTTATTGAATAATCTTGCTCTATCTAGTTTATGGGCACACTCAATAACTCTTTTATCATTACTTTTGGATAATATGTATATTTATAGAGTTTTAAACCCAGAACTTCCTATAAAAAGTTGTGCCTATGCCAAATTCATCGATTAGTAAGTTCTACAATTAACTGGCAATGGAAATATTACCCATTATAGTCTGTATCGTATACTATACGTAATTAGTCTGTTTATTCGTATCTAAAGACAGAAAATAGAAAGAATTTCTATTTATAGTAAAATTAAATAAATTTTTGATAACATAAATATATGTATCTCTTCACTAACAGTTTACTGATGAGGCCAAGCTTGATAAATCATTTAAAGCGCAGAGGCATACAGGTGTAACTGAAATTGTTTAGTTATAGTGCGCAAATTAGAGTTGCTTGAATTAAAACGTGAAATCTCTTCGATAGGTATATCTGTGGGTGCTCAATGATGAAAATGACTTTCGTAGGGCGTTCCGATTAGGAGCTGATGGAATTGTTACCGATTATCCCACCAAACTGCAAAAATTTCTACAAAAACAAAAAAGCGACTAAGCATGTTCAATATTCCATACGGTATGTATGTCTTCTCGAGCTAAATGTTACCGTAAAGAAGGCTAAATTAATGGTGTTTCATCAATAGTATGCAATTGCGTATAGAATATGTTCACTAATCAAAAGATGATTTATATCTGCGTTATGTATATCGATAAATCGGCTTTTTTTGTATATGAATAGTGATGTATGTATGTACGATGATCTTCGTTTAATGAATGATAATTACGTAAGTTCTAATAAGTTCTACTATGATCGGAAAGAAGCGATATGTAGACTGTACAATATAGTAATTTTTCCTTAACAACCAATACAAATAACTAAGAATTAAAAGTTGTGTTTTGTTACTCAAATTATCACTTCAAGCTACTATTGAATCTCAGGTAAAAGTTAAATAATGTCTAGTCTAAATTATAAGATGAATATTGAATAATGCTATTAATTCAATCGATGACTTTTTATGTCACTACTTGTTATTCGATTGTTATATTTAACAATTGTGATATTCAAATTTAAGCGGTTAACGTATCAGATTACTGTGTGCGTACATATATGCAGTTGGAAGGCACTGAAGAGTGCAGAACATTTTAAATGGAAATGAAATAAATATCATTAGCTTGTCGACATGTAGATATAAAGGAGGTGCAGTATTTATATAAAAATAAAAGATCTTTCTTATCTATAACATGATGAAACATTTAAAAGGTGCCTAGAGCGACAGCAGGAATCTACTACTATTTAGTCTATCAGTTTCAACTTGTCGAATTTAGCTGGAATTGTAAGATTTCGGCATAAGCTTAGTTTTAAGCTCTTTACGAAGAATCTATTGCTCCATTGGATCTTACTTTCTACTCTTGAAAGATTAATAACATTTTAATACCGGTTATGTGCAATAAAGATCACAATTGCGCTAGAGCAAAAGTAGGAAAACTCGCTGTTAATTTTAAATTGAGCTACCTATGCTCCATCTATCCTCCATATTAAACTGTAAAAGCTATCTGCATAAGCTTTTCTTAAGCTTATTATAAAACTATTACTCTAACAGGGTTCTTAGTTCTTACTTTACACTACTCGAAAGATGAACAACATTATTTGTACTATTTAAGTAAAAGATTACTATTGTACCAGAGTGGTCAGAGGAAATCCCATTGCGATGTAAATTAGCAATGGAATCTATCAATGCTCCAATTTCTCCTCTATATTAAACTTTATATAAGTACTGTATATGGGTAATAAAATTAGTTTTGAGCTCTTTACAAAACATCTATTGCTCAAGTTAGTAACATTTATTACTAACATACAAATGTAAAAGATAGCAACCGTCCAGGAATGATAGCAAAATTGCTCTTAGCACTTTGCATATCTGTGTTGAAAAGTACAACCAATTAACTTTATAGGATAATCATTGCCAAGAAATTCTAACGACCTAAGAGATCAACCTGATTGATTGTTAATAAATTTTATTACCAAACACATGCTATAAGATCAATATTAGAATCTACTGTTGCTTTTTCAAAATAAAAAGACTTATCTTACTATCATTACTACTATAAGCTAGCGTTAAAGATAGCCGAGTATTTGCTATGAACTAATTTATAAGATACGTCGTATAAACACGCTTAATACAAGAAATTGCATGACAAATTCAAGTTAACTATGATAGCCATTACACTAGAATAACATATTCCAAGCTAGTTGTAGAGTAAAAGTAGTTAGATAAAAAGGTTAGAAAGATTTAATTTAATGAGATTGAATAGGATGATGATTATAGTCAAAATGATTAATTGCATTAGGCAATTTAACAGATTATTTTTATTCGTTAACCTGTACCATTTAATTTTTAATTCTTAAAAATGATGTTAATATTAGATTGGACTATTATCCCAAAAAGAATTGTATAGACGAGACGAATGTGCTAGCATGAAATAGTCATTACAAGTACAAAAAAATGAATTGATACTAAGATAGAGAGCAAATCTCGACTTGTTATTATATATTTAGCAACGTGAAATAATGACACGAACTATAACGCAAAAGTTAAGCTGTATCTTACTGCAATATTTACTATACTTATTGAATATAAAGTAGCTTTAATAGTAATTCAGCAAAGATTACGTTGTCTTGAATCGAAGTTGATCACATACAGGGAGTATGAATAAATCCTTTACGAAGGCCTATCCATACACCCAGTTACTTCCATCATTATTTTCTTAGATAAAAATGTAGAGTAAAGTAGGACTTTACTAAGCAAATTAGTGATTAAGTTATGCCAAACCATGAATGATTTAATGATCATCTATCAATCTACTCGATGATAGATTTACTCTTGTACTACCTGTTAAAAATAAAATGATAAAAAATATAAGTTATGGAAGGATTCTTTTCGAATTGCTAGATATTGGAATGGAAACTACTATCGCTGCTAAAGAAGATATGGACTGCAAGATGCATCATTTAAACATTAATACCATAAAATATCAGCCACTCAAGAAAGGTATTAGCTACGACTAGTATACGAATACAGATATTGTACAGGCTTATAAATATAAGAATCTTTTTATCATGCGGTGTATCATATTGCCCACTAGATGTAAAAATTTTCAAGGGTAATTACTAATCCATAGCAATACCTTTTCGGCATCAGCTAATTTTTCCCGCATGGCGTCTCTCACATCTTGGAATTCTTTAACCTCTTTATCCACTGCATTGAAGAATTCTTCGTATCTGTCTTCATATTTATTATCATTGACTTCCATTTGTATCTTTCTCTATATATTTCCATTACAAAATTGCAGCAAGTTAAGAATATTATCGAGATAGATAGGATATAAAATCATCGAATTTAGAAATTATCTCCATACCGAGAATGGCGATTTAATAAGTCGCTCAATAATCGATCTTTCTTCTTTCCTTAATTCAACTACTTGGTTTTTCAACGATTGTAGTTCATCGATCCTATAAGAATAGTGATTAGTATAGCAAATTGTTTTTTTTTTAACTTAAAGAATGGATAAAAATTGACTTTGCGTATCCTGTTCTGACTTACTTAGTACCGCCATCTTCTAATAGAGTCTTTGCTAGACTGAAAATTTCCTTGGAACTGTCTTGTACAGCATTCTTGTCAGCGACAGCCTATCAAGAACCATTTAAAATTGGCTATTAATTATCTAATATTTCTATTTAAATTGAATATTATCATGATACGAAAGAAAATACGTTAAGCTAGTTGTAGTGCTTGCATTATTCCTGACCTTTTCGTAATCAGCCTTGACTTGGTTAAATTCTTCTTCAGAGATGTTGCTAGTTGCTGGTGGTGGTGTTGGTGGTCGCTCATTAGCTCTAGCTTTTTCCTCCTCTTCTTTGACTTCTATAATTCGTTTAGCTTCTTGTAATTCAACTTGGCTAGCATTCTATTCATGATATAATAGTATAAGTCCTCTTATACGTGAACTACTTTAATGACTCTTATTACTTGGCTTCTATCTAAGCTTGGTACCATCTATTTTATTTCAATATTCTATGCACTTCAACTTACAAAGGAATTCTTGGACGATTCCAATTCTGCTTCTAATGCTTTGATCCTTTCTTCAAGAGAGCCAATGGAGCTATCTTTGCCACCGATTTGTCCTTTTAGTTCTTCAACTTGCTTCAAAGCCGCAATCTCAGCTTCTGATGGGCCAGCAGGAACAACTTCAACTGCAGCAGCAGTAGTAGCAGCTACTACAGCGACTTCTGGAGTTGGTTCAGGAGCTTTTACTTCAAGAATTTCTTTCTTGATTTCTTCAATTATAGCATTGCCGTTGGATACTGCAGGTGGTGTCTCAACAACAACATCGCCATTCTTTAGGTTACCGTTGGGAGCAGTTTCGCCATTTGCCAGTTGTAACACCATTTGTAGCAGGACCTTGAACAAAGATTCCATTCCTTTTGGCATAAACATCTTCTTCCTGTTGTATCAGTCATATGTCAATAAAAGTTTAGAATGATTTATTACTCATAACTTATCCTTCATAGAACAGAAGCTGTAGTAATCACAGAGATCATTGTGGAAGGAAAATGATAGCTAAAGAATAGAGCAGCTAGTAAAAATAGCGGTATAACCTCTCGTCGGCATTTTTCAGCAATTTTCAAGGCTTTTCCAATTTCATCTTGAAGTAATTTCTCATCAACGCGTTTAATTTGATACATATGGTGGTGGACAGCTAAGCTCAGGATCTATGTATCAATCATCAAATTATCATGAATTAAAAAAGGAATTCGATAATTCTATAGTTGTTAATAAAATTCTTAATAATTAGCGATATTTTACGGTTTAAGACAGAATAAATCATTGACGATTCATTGGCTACTATAACCACTGGATAACAATGATGATCATTCTTTACCTCTGGTAGCTGTTTAGGATCCTTTAGCTTGAGAATAACTGGTGGATCTTTTTTGCTCATCGATTTCATCACGAGCTAACAAATATAAAGCAAAACAAATTTTAATTCATGCCTTAGCATTAACTCACTCTACTAATTTAAGATATATAATTCTATCATCCAATATTCGTTGTGTTTCCACTCTTAGTCGTTAACGTTAACACGAGGAACTTTGATACACTCCTACTAGTAAGCTTACTGAAAAGTCTCTTTTATTTAGGATTTACTGCATTTAAATAGTATAGCTGTAATGGCGTATTATACCCTTATCTTAGTAATTCATTACCTTATCTTATGCTAACACGTTAGGTGCAGTACAACAAGTCACTGTATTCTTACATACATAACAATATTCTGTGTTTGATCGTGAGAACGATAACTTTAACAATTCTAGTCAAGATGGCGCATTGAAATGAATACGCGCATTTTTCAAATGTTAATAAAATGGTAAACTACAAATCATTTTCGACAGTTTTGATGTATTGGATGATTATCCTGGTACTCTATTCAAAATTGACTCTATCACTGAGGCAAGGAGAAATTGATATTAATACAGTTATAAATAACTCATTGGATAATTAAAACTACAGCTGTTCGAATCAGGATGGTGCATTAAAATGAATATGCGCAAATTTCAAATGTTGATGAAATAGTAAACTAGAAATCGTTTTCGACTGTTGTTGATATATTGAATGATTATCCTGCACTCTATTCAAAATTGATTCTATCGAAGAGGCTTGGAGAAATTGATATTAATGTAATTACAGATAACTTGTTGGATGATTTGATGGATAAATTTAATCTACCTTTCCGTTCTTCTTTTTAACGTAGTTAGTCTCGTTCCATTTGAATGTAAGATGGGGTCTACTTTTATTGTCTTGTTTGTAAATGTTGAGTCCATCGAAAGTTATTCCGCAAACCACAGGACTGCCGGTCTTATTCTGAAATTGTTGATTCGAGTGTTGATAGTCAAATTAGTATTGGTAAAGAATTGGATGTTCTCTTAGAGTCACGGTTAAAATTAGTCTAACTTTAAATCTTTTCCCCTACACTATTATCTCTTGCACATTACATTAATAAATCCAAAATACGAAAGCATTCCTATCTTACCATAGCATCAAAGTAATAGACACCATAGGTTTCTAATTTTTGAACTACTTTCAAGTATTCTTGCTCAGCTTCAATTCTATAGTAAATAGAGAATTAAAGAGAAAGCTTAGTCATGAAATAGGATAATACTCCTTCAAGATATATTAGACATAACCAAACAAGACTAACTTTGAAAGTCCTCGATTATCACGCCACCAATTGAAAACTTTGCTTTCCCATTGCTCCGAGGATAGTTGATGCTTTTGAACGGCCTAAAAGGAAGAGGAGAAAAGATTCAACGTTAAAGACTGAAATCAATTTCGACTTGATTGAGAAAATCTCTATGATAGAATGTAGTTATTACGAGGGAGTTATCCTATCGTTGTTTCTTTAGTCATTATGAAATATTTTACTTTCGTATTTACAGCTTAACGTATCTAGGAAAGAATGTAATTACTACGAGAGAATTTTCCTATCGTTATATATTAAGTCTTTACAGTTTAAAATGAAAAGTGACAACTTATCAATGCATCAGGTTGTATCTAAGATCCATTAACGAATAAATGAATCGTTCAAGAATCGCATCGATCTGATCGCCATTATTGCTGCCACACCATCAATTCTAGCTCATAATAATAGTAATCTACAACTTACACTACTGGGCATAAATGGTCCTTTGCTTGACAAGAAAAAGGTTTGGTGCTCCTCAGCCTTGAAATCTCCAAACTATAGTTGTATTCAACAAAATAAGAAAGCAAATTTGATCCAATTAAAGCTAGCCTTAGGCTGTAACAATTATCAACTTTTTCCTTCAATCATTGCTAGACTAATCCAATATCAGTGAGTTCACTAGTTGTTGAGCATGTTACAGTAGGATTAATTTTCAATTAGTCCGCTAAGTTATATTAAGAGTAGTACGATATGAAAAATAAAATCTCATCGGCTAATGATTATGGCAGAATTGAACTCCATTCTAATGATTGTCATGATTCTAATATACGAACATTCTATCGCTAAAATGGACTACTATCTACTGCAAAGTATCTATGATTGTAGGCCATTGATTGTCATGGCGTTTACTCTCCTCTACACACAAATAAAATAAGTTGTTGATGGACAGAAAATAGAAGAAATTACTAACCTCTGCTTGTGCATCAAATCCAGCTAATAAAGCACATACGTCAGCTGGGCAGTCTAATTCACCGCTCATGATTTTAGCTTTGCAAGCCAAGAAAATAAAATGGCGAGAAGAAGCTTGCAATAGAAATTCTTCAACGGGTGATGGGAAAATTCGAACGGAAAATTTAAAATTGGCCACTTTATCACGCGGAATACCTTGATCAGCCAACTAGAAGATCAATTAACATTAATACCATCGTTTTGTGCAACAGTACGCAAAGTAGACAGTAAAATAGAATATTTATCCTACTATGATAGAATATGATTGAGAAGATTGATAACAACTTCATGCCGCTGTTTTACTTTCTATTTATCTATCAACGGTTTGAAGAAATACGACTGCTTATGCATCATCTCTGTATGATGATTAGTGCAACCTTTCTCGCTGCGACCAATTCGATATTATTGGCTGGCACAATTCTAAATTACTCGTATACTTAAATTATAATATACTATCATTTGTCTACAGGCTATTTGGGGAAATATGATCGCGTCTTGCAGCCCTAAATTAGCTTAAGATTAGAATCATGGGCAAGCTATGATTGTGTTGCTAAAAGAATCATTCCGTAACTAATTAATTATGTATTCATACGCGTAAAACATGATGAATTCTACTGTAGTAATTTAAATATTCCTTGGTAACTGGAAGATGAACCTGATTTATGTAATCAAGTAAAGTTGGCGAGGAACTACAGTTCTGTTATAATATTTTTGAGAAGACGCTCTATCACAGATCGCTTTGCATCATCTCTACTTGATGATTAGCGGAATCTTTCTCAGCACGATATATTCAATCTAATTTACTAGCAGAACTCTAAAACTACGACAGAATACTATTGGATCAGAAGCTATTTGAAAAAAATAGAACGCTAGCTGCCTCTGTGTAAAAATTTTCATACTGGATAATTATATCAAGCTTAGCTATCGAAATGAATACTAAATTTCTCTTATTAGTCCAGTTGTCATTAATACAAGATGCAGCTCAAGTTATCGACTAGAATAACTGTGATTTATCCTATTGGATGCATCCAAAGTATCAACGGATTGGATATCCAAGCTGTTAATGCACAGGGTCGATCACTTTGACAAAAGTATAACTAGATCTTATCCTAGCAGGAAGTACATTTCAATCAATTAATTCTATTCTAACCTTGGGTCGCAATCGAACCCATTGATCGGACTTTTGAAAACTTTTAAAAGTTAAGCCAAAGAAAGCGCCTTCACGGATGTCTAATGCTTTTAGAACCAAGTTTATCAAGTCCTCTCCTGGTCTCATCCACTATTTCCATCCATGTCAAGAAGGAGTCGATATATTAATATGTATAGAAAAAAAGAGAGACACCATCAGTTTAAGCCTATTACCATCGTTATAAGTACTTTGTGGTTTATTTTATATTATTAATTTCTATTTTTTTCTAATTATAGATATGAAAAATGGTTTAGCGACTATATTTCAAGTTATTAATGTGATCCAAAGATGAAGAATGTGAAGGTAAATGGACTGATCAAATAGGTCTTTAATCTACAGTTTATTAATAGGCCGATGCAGCCGTCTAATTGAAAGTTGTAAATGACAGGGTTAAATAGGAAGCGTTTAGTGTTTAATAAGATTAAGCAATATAAGTGAAGAGATTATCGTGGATTAAGTCATTAGAATAATTCTTTGCCAACTTTTTACGACTAATAACGAGCAGTTGGAAGTCCTACACGATGGATGAAAATCGCAAGGAATTTTATTTCATTCTATGCGAATAAAACATTGTTAGAGCTTATTTCATCCAGATGAAATCATCTATTGGATGGTTAACTTTGATGAGAATGTCGATTTAAAATCGCTTACGATAAATCACATCTGTGAATCTTTGCTGACGAAAACTCATCAACGGTAATCTTGGTGTAAAGGTATATAAAACCGAAATCCTCCCCTTCCATCATTAGCTTTCAAGAAATAAGAGCTTTACCTTTTTATTAATAGGTAATTAGAAGTATTTAAAAAGGAGACTTTCCCCTTCGATGGTTGGCCATTAAGAAATGAGTATTTCAGTCTTTTATAATTGGCAATAGAATAGTAATTTGAAAGTGGACAGTTACGGTAGAAAGGGTAGAGGAGAAGAAAAACACAAAATGCAGTTTTATTGGAACTAATTCTTTCCTTTTATCGCTGGTTATGAAGAAATATGCAAGATTGTTTTAATTTTTTTTAATTGGCTATGGAATAGTTTGCTGAACTGAATAATTACTGTATAACAAGCAGACGAAGTTTATTAAAACTAATACTTTCCCTTTCATCACTGGCTATCAAGAAATGAGCGATTTAGTAATGGAATGGTAGTCTCTAATAAGCTCAAATTCTGTATAACGCATAGAGCAGAGGAATAAAATTAAGTATAGAAAGGTAATTCTACTGTTAGCCTTAAAGAAATAACTCTCTCTAGCTTTACTAAATTGGCTACGGAATAGTAATTAGCTATGGGCTAAAATTTTGTATAGCTGGTAGAGTAGACGAAAAAACACTAAATCAAATGTAGAAAAAGGAAATCTTTCTCATCTACTATTGACCATCAAGAAACAACTATTTTAGCCTTATAAATTGGCAATGGATTGGTAAACCATAATGAGATCATGACGGTACTGTAGAACAAGTTGGGCAAAGTATAATGCAGGAGATGAAAGAATGTTCTTAAAGCCGCTTGTGATATCCATTTTTAAATCTATTTGCAACGGCGAAAGTCTGTTTTACCAGGAATTATTTAAATCATAATTGGAAATGGAACAGTGTCAACAGCAACAACAGAAAGCAATAATAATTTCCATAGATCATTGCTATTAAAACTAAAACTTGTTCACTATTACTAACCTATATAGCCTAAACTGATAGCAAGAGGAGAGCACAGGCGAAATACTGTAGAGTAAATTTTGAAAAGAGAAAAATTGGTCCTACCATAGAGTCACTATTTAATCCTCTCCTGTAATGTTATTTTTATCCCCTCATGGGACTACTCCTAATATCTACATGACATAGCTTGGATTTTTCCGTTATTTCAATTCGAGACAATATTCTTATGCCATTTGAAGCATGTCTTTTTCAATTATACGATTGGAAGGATTAGTTATTTCTAGTGTCATCATGGAGCGTTGAAAAGTAACACAATTATGATGGAATCTAATTTTCGACATCTTATTACTGCTCTATTTGGGCAACCAATGATGGTAAATTATGCAACAGACCAATCTGAAGAAATTTGTTGTTTAGAATGTCATCATGTAGCCTTGAAAAATAACACAATTATGAAGGAATCTAATTTTAGATATGTTATTCCTACTATTGGAATAAAAAAATGTCGGGTAAATTATGTAAAAGATCAATCGGAAGGATAAGTCGTTTAAAATGCCGTCATGGAGCGTAAAAAAGTACTGCAAACATGAGGTAATGTCATACAAGATCAATCGGAAAGATAAGTCGTTTAAAATGTCATAATATGATATTGAAAAAGAGTACAAATATGATGGAATCAAATTTTTGGTATGTTATTACTGCTTTATTTGAACAACAAATGATGGCCAATTATGCAGGCAAGCTTAAACTGGAGAAGTAATTTTGACAGCAATATAATTAGTGATTGAAAGGGATTTGAAGGATTACTTGTGTCTCATCATGTAGCAATGGCGATGACTTAGTCATAATAGAATCCATTTCGAACTATGTTGCTGCATTTGAACAAATGATGGCCAATTAGGTAAGTAAAAAGTTAACTAAACTGGAAAAAAACATTGTAGATCATAGCGGAAGGCAATTTCAAGGATTAGTTCTTGATAAATATCATCATGTAGCGATCAAATTCACACAATCATGATAAAATCCATTTCGAAATATATTGCTATATTTGAAGAAATGATGGCGAATTATGTAAGTTAACTAAGAAATTGAAGCAAGAATTGTAGACAGTAGGGTTAGTGATTTCACACAATTATGAGTTGATTTTCATCTTTAAAAAAGTAACAAGAAACCTATTATAGCGATAGCGATAACGAGAGAAAATGGTCATGGCTGTTGTTAAATAGCATTTTGATGGGTAGCGTGGAATGAGAATATAGCGTCGTGGTAAAAGGGCAATATTGACTTTGTTATCATCATGGTCAATGAATTGAAGAAAAAGAAATGGATTAGCTTCTTATCGATGATAATTATACATGACAGATTCAATCTCAAAAATAAGGTTAAGTATAATTTCAATCTAGTTGGAATAAAATGAATTAGCCTACTCAAATAGAATCCTTCATAATCATAGCCATTATATTGTATCATCAGCTAGTGAATATTCAAGTGATGAATGGCTTAATTTAAAAATAAATCCTACTTGAAATTGGCTGATGTTAGTTACAGAAAAGAAGTTATTGAGAAAAAAACACTGCTGATCAATATCGAAACAATAAGATTGTTGAAATAAATAAAAGCTAAGCTATTTCTACACTTTTCCCTTCCTTAATTTAATGGAAGAATTGTCCACTAATTACCTGAAGAGTAAAGCGCAATTCCTTGACAGGAGTATCAATAATGGCTTCGAAGGTATATGTCGCTGTGTCTACCATGGTGATTTCGTTTCGATGTTGTAGATAAAAATAAGAAAAACTTGAGGATAATCTTTCCCAATAGCTTGATCACAATCGATCTTGAATCTAGAAAGGAGAGAATAAGCATCAGATATCCAATTATGCTAAAATGATCGATGGATAATTATTTTGAACAATCATTGTTATTGGTCTATCAATGTCTAGTGATTTAATTTTATCATATAATTTACAATTGATAAAAAATAGCCATCAAGAATTCAAGAGGAAAGGTTAACAGGAATAACTACTATCGTTTGTGTAAGGGAGAGAAGAAATTGCTCTCTTATCATGAATACCTTCAGATAGATTAATTCGTTTGCCGCTACACGTATAGAACTCATTTTACTAGGTAGGATCAATCCGTTTTCAATGTCAGAAAGAATTACATTGAAGATGACAGATATTATTAAAAAATCGTAAGAATAAAAATTGATTTCTAAGCTAACAGAATGGGATAAACGACTATCGTTGTAGAAAGGTGAAAAGGTATTACTCTCTTATCATGGTATATCATCGGGTAGATTGGTAGATCAATACATAAAAAATCAATTTCTAGATAGGGTAGATATTATCCTTATTAAATGGTAAAATAGTTAATTTCTAAACTTACAGAATAATACAAACTACTATCGTTATGCATAGGGAATAAAGGTATTGCTCTCTGATTATCAATATCATCGGATCGATTCGCAGATCAATACAAAAATGATTCTATTTCCAGATAGTGCAGATATTATCAACGAAGGAAAAAAATCATTGATTTGTAAACTTACAAAAATGGCTAAGGATAAACTCATTGACAAGGTAGGTTAGAAACGTATTTGCTACAAATACTCTACCATCAATCAGCGTGAAAGCTATCACTTTGCAGAAGGGAAAGATAGGATATAATCGTTTTTGCCAACAGTTAAGAAAATACTTTTTCTTTCCATGCTATACCGCATTTTGATTCAGAACCAACAAAATGATTCATTTGTAAGCTAAAATGAATAACATCAGCTAGTTTAGAATGATGTAAAAGATTATTTTCACTTGTCATCCATACTGTGGACAAGGATCCCAAATGCCAATAGTCATTTTGGAACATTTCATAATCAGTCTACAAATTATTGATCGTACTGATCCTCTTGTTTGGCAATATCAGCGTGATCGATTTAAATTGAATAAATAGTCTATCCAATAATCGTATTGACTAGATACAATATTGAGAATGGTTTAGAACATAGAGTGGAGGGAAAAATACTATTTGATTTACGCTACCATTTCATGGTGACGATAATTATTTTTCAACGTGGGGAGCAACGTTATTTGATTAATTACGGTATACCATTCGACGATGAAAACGAAAGATGATTCTTTTTGACTATGTTAGCAATAGTATTTGATTTACTATACAATTTTATTGTCAAGATAAAAATAATTCTTTTTCAAAGTAGCTAAAAGGATCGATTAAGCCTGGACAAATAAGCTATAAAATATACGCTATTGATCGTATCCACTTTATAAATAGTTTGTTGTTGAATAAAATCGTTCAAAAATCTCATTTGATTGACGAGCATACAATATTTTATTCTAAAAATGATTCCTTTTCAATAGTTGGAAACTGCAGGACCGATTCAAATGGAGACAAACAGGCAATTTTATTGACTATATTGATTTGGAGAA